GGGGAGGGGGCGGGGGCAGACAGATGATTACAGAGTTAAAGGCACCTCTAGTCTGATCTACAGAGCGAACTCCAGGACAGCCAAACTCAGGCAGTAAAACAAACCATCAAACGCAGAAAGCTGAGTGGGGCGTGGTGGCACACTCACACTCAGGAGGCAGAGGAAGGTGGATCTCTGTGAGTTGGAGGCCAGCCTGGCCTGTGAAAATGTGTTTTCCGAGCGAGATGACCATGCTTCCGTTCCAGCAAGCAGCAGAACTTGACAGCTTTGGTCATGTGGTTCTAAATTTAGACTTAAGGACACAAAGAAAGGAGTTCTGGAATCTCCTTTTGCAACTAAGGGAAGTCCCTGAGGCCAGGTATATGCCAAGGGTGTCCCTGTATATTGGCCCGGAGTAGCTATTACATGATGCTGTGAGGGTTGCCTTGAAGACCCCAAGATATTGAAGACACCAGAGGCCTGGGATGCTGGCTGAGGAAAACTGCTAAGGGAGTGGAACCAGTCCAAGAGAAAGGGGTGTGTCCCAGTCAACACAGCTGAAAGGGGTTGGAAATCTGAAGAGTGCTTTAGCAACAGGCGTGGGGATGCAGAGTTTGGAGTTTGCCCAAGATGGCTATAGGTGCTGCTTTTGTGTGGTATTTCCTTACTCCCCCCCCCATTTTAGGATGCAATGTCCATCCTTCACCAGTATATGCTGGAAGTATGTGACCTGGATTTTGTTTTGATTTTACAGGGGGTTACAGTGAAGAGGTAACTTGAGTCTCAGAAGAGGCTTTGAGCTTTTGACTTTTGAGCAGTGTTGATTATGCGATAGATAGACTATGAGTACTTTTAAAGCTGGACTACATACGTTTTGCATCATGATATGGCCTTAAGCGTTGGGGGGGGGCAGAGAGTAGAATGTGGTGGTTTATTAGTGATGGGTTTATTAGGCCATAGGAAGTGGTGCTATCAGTAGGTCTAGCTCTGTTGGAGAAAATGTATTGTGGGGTAGGAGGAGCGGGACTTTGAGGTCTCAGATGCTCAAGCCGGGCCCCGTGTGGCATTCTCGTTTGACATGTCTGCTGATCTAGATGTAGAACTCTCAGCTACCTCTCCAGCACCATGTCTGCCTATGAGTCACCAAATGCTTCCGGCCGTGATGACAATGGACTGAACCTTTGACACTGTAAGCCAGCCCTTAGTTAAATGTTTTCCTTTATAAGAGTTTCCTTGTCTAGTAAAAACCAAAAAAAAAAAAAAAGTTTCCTTGGCTATGGTGTCTTCACAGCAACAGAAGCCCTAACTAAGACCCTGATGATCTGGAAACACATGGGGGCTTCCGTGAGCGGCGCGCATTACAGACAAGGGAGCAATGGGAGAAACTGGTTTGTTTAAGGCCAGGTGTGGAAACCTCTTGGGGACTGGCCAAAATTCTGGAAAAAAATTCTATCAGAAGGGCCATCTCTGTTGTGAAACCTCCCATGGCCATCCGGACTTATGAGACCCAGGGGCTCTGACAGTAATCGTCCGTGGAAAATAGGGAACAGTCAGGGCCTGACCATTTATTTGTTTAGTGGCTCCAGTAACGTTCAAAATAAACGAGATTCAACCACAGTGACTCCTAAAATACTTTCCCCAAGCTAAGTGGGTCTAAATTATGTAGAAACCTCCATCAACTAGTAGAGGCTAGCAATTTCTCAGGCTGTCTCCTAGTCATTGAAATCCTGTCGCTGCTGTCATAGGCAGTCACTCAAAAATCCTCAAAGGGATGTCAAGACCAGCACAGTGAGTAAGTTGCTTTCAGGTGTGGAGGCAGTTTGCAAGTAGCTGGGGCACTGTGCAGCCTGATTCCTCCACACACACACACCCCTTAGCAGGGGCATGGCTGTCTGGCTTATTTTTATAATGGCATATAACCCGAATCATACTCCAGCACAAAAAACAAAAAAAAAAAAAAAAAAAGAGAGGGCTGGGTGAGAAGTTGTGCAATTTTTCCCCCCTAGGGATGGTTTCATTTTTGCTGCTGTTGTTATTGTTGGTTTGCAGAAAACTACCCTAAATTTATTTGCGCTTCATTTGAATACACTTCTGGAGAAGGGTGCTATGTTAATTTAGGTGTTTATTTGCTATAGCACAATAACTAATAAACACAGGAATCTATGCATGCCTTTTGTATTAGTGTTCTGTAATTTTATATTGCGTTTTGTTTCTTGGAGCGCTGAATATATGTTTTGAATAATTCTAGTTTTGAACGATCCCTTTTTTATTTCTTATGTCTCCATGTGTTTAGCTTTTTTATGTTTTTATATTTTATGTTGCTCTTTTCACTGTACAAGGCTCGAAGTAGAAGGAATCATTTTTACTACTGAAACTTCTGCTGTAATGTGAGCTTAGTTTTAACAATTGTGAAGGTAGATCAGTGAAAAACAGTTGTTTAGGACATAACTGAAGTGTAGCTAGGGATGGAAATGATCTAAAAATTGCATCTCTGTAAAATAATACTGGTTATAAAAGAGATGCACACCTTGGGCTTTTGTTTGCCCTCTTTCCTGATGTAAACTGGTGGCCACACACCTTGGTCCTCAGTCCCCAACCCCCTCTGTCTTTCTGTGTAAACTAGCTCCTTCCTTACAGTGGCCCTCTCTGTCTCTACTAGCTCTCTCCTTACTTCCTAGAAATATCAACCTTCCCTTCTTCATAAAGATGCACAGGAACAAAAACCCCACCATGCTTTCAATGGCCTTACCATCCCTTTATTGCTACCAAATATCATGGAGAAAATTACCCCTGCCTGCTTGACCTATTTCTCTTTCACTAAATAAGTTTACCATTGGCCCTTTAGGTGGCCACATCGCAATATTACACAGACTGGGTGATTTATAAAAAACATCTGCTTCTCACAGTTCTGGAAGCTGTCAAGCCCACAGGTCTTGGCACGGGGATATTCTGTGCCCTTTGCTCCTTCTGAAAAGCTTTCATGCTGAGTCCCCTCACACGACAGCAGGCATCAGGGAGGAAGGGGCTCCCTTCATTTCCCAACCCTAAATCCTGCTCAAGACTCACGGCTTGCTCACCTTCCCGTAGACATGCCTCTTCATTCTACCGTGAGGCCATCAAGTTCCTAACTTGAGTCCCAAGGGGACATACCTTCACACCACAGCCACTTTGATCTGAACATGTGGTGATATCGGCTGCACTCTATTTTCCATGGAAATTTACTCGAGACAGGACTGTATCCACGACAGCTGGACAAGTTTGTGTCATTGACGATTCTTCAGTGTAATAACATAGGTTCGTTCATCAACTAGGTAAAATGATATATATATGTATATATCACATATGTATTACTCTATCAACTATAGCCCTAGTGTAGAAACAAAGCGGAGGGCACGTTATTCTTTGAGCATCCTCACCACCGGAGTCTCTGCCATTTAAGTTGAAGTCAGCAAAGCTGCTGATTTTGAAAAAAAAAAAAAAAAAAGAAAAGAAAAGAAAAGAAAAAAAAAATCACCCCGTGACCCTCAGGTCCTTGGAGTAAGGTAGAGTAGAACTGTCTTCGATGGTAATCAAGTTTGCCTAAGCTAAGAGGATGTGCCATAGTTTTTAATCTTCTTCTGAGCATTCTCGCAGGCTGTTCAAAGAGAGGTACTGGGATTTAAATGCTAGTGGAGTGGGCAGTAACCCTCTTAAAAAATCACCTTCCAGCTTTTTGAAAGGTTGAGGGCTGCTTAGTTCAAACGCCTCGGGTGTCCCCCACCTCGCCCAGTGCCGGCTCCTCTGCTCACACGGTCTCAAGTGCCCCGTAGCCATGGCTGTACTGCCACCCCAGACAGCTGCTCACATTTACAGTGGTTTAATCAACATTTTCTGACGCCCACTGCAGATGAAACCCTTCATTAGTCATAAAATACAAGCTCGTATTCTGGTTTCTGGCCCATCAGGGCAAACGCATACATAGTTAGACATATGCAGCATATTTATGTTGACACATTGTTTAAATGACAAACGTGCCTCAGAGAAGCGACATCTTTTACTCTGTGGAGCTCAGCGATCACTCTAGAAGTAAACGAAGCACAGGAATCAAGCGTTCCAGTCAGGTCCTTCCATAATGCTTAATGCCCAAATGCCAGGGATTTTAAAACTCTGTTTTCTGTTGGGTATTTGGGACAAGTATCAACCCAACACACAGGAAGAATTGTCCTAAGGATGGTGGGGACTGCAAGTGACTGAAGGAGTTAGAAAGGTCATGGGACATTGATGGGGAAGGCCTGTGTATATGTCAATAAAGCACTGTTGGCCAATAGGGAAGCAAGATAGGTGGGACTAGGAGTCCAGGAGGATTTTGGGTAGGAGAAACACAGGGAGTCAAGATGTAACCGCCATAGGGATAGGAAGCCTGGAAACTTCTCCGGTAAGAGAAATACTTAGATTAACAATTATGGGATAAATACTTAAGTCAGAGCTAGCCAGTAAGAAACAAGCAAGGCCAACAGCTTCATAATTAATACAGCGTCTTGTGTGTTATTTGGGGACTACAACATGGCAGAGCCCAGGCAACTGGCGGGGATAAACCAAAGCAGCAGACAAGAAAAAGGCTTCTCGCTACAGGACATTACTTGATCACTTAACTCCATTCATTTATACACAGCCATGGATCTGAAAGAGTTTGCACTAACAGTTACTTATCAGTATAGCATAAACAACCCTTCTTTACTGTGCCTGAGGTTTTCTGTAAAATTATCTCCTTTCCTGAAATAGTCAACTCTTTCCTTATTGATTACCTACAAACATCATCAATCTTTCCTAATTCTAAGTGTTTCCACTAACAATTACCCACACTAAGCCCATTGAAAGATCACATATGGGCAACCTGGGATTATAGATTGAGACAGCAAACCTAAACAGAGAAGGCTAGGCTGAATGAAGTCAGCAAAGTTTTCCTGAAGTACCCCAAGGGCGTTGTTTGGGTAGAACCTCTCAGAATATGACATACAAAAGTACAAGCATTACCCAAATGATTAAATGTTCAATTACTTCGTTAATTCATTTTACTCATCGACTTATCAACAAATTTGAAATCTTTACTTCACCAGAAAGGGTACAACTTTGTAAGTACATCACATACACAATTCCTTCCTGAGTTTGTGAGCCTGGGGAGATTCCAGGGCCAGACAACTCTATAGCTCAACCTCCAGCAGGATTTGAAGTTTTGGATGAATTCCGTATTCCTTGAACTTCACCCTTCTGAGGACTCTATGCATTTGGCCAGCTTATTGCAAGAGAATGGGCTCCAATCACAAGCAGGACAGCTGTCTTGTGCTCACTGTATCCTGTGAATCCACCCCAGGCTGTGGTATGAAGAGCGGCACTCCATATACTTGTTGTATAGTATGGTCTTAGAACTAGAAATGTATCATTAGACATGTAGTCACAAATCATCCTGTACTGTGAAAAGAAACAGCCTTCGTGTCTGAGAAGTAGGTGGCAGTTCTCCAGACTGATCTTCTTTCTGATGTTACACATACAGCGTATACCATGGTAACACAGTCCCAGGGAGAGAAGCTAGTTCACAGTGGAGCTGTGACCCATCTTTTAAGGAAGTGTGTTCCACGAACTTACACGTGTTGGGAACCTAAGATGTGGCGTGAGAACAAACCAACTCTAGAAGAAAGATATAATCAACAAAAGGATAAGTTACAGGGGACACCAGCCTAGAAATCTTCCTGTTTAATCATTTCTGTTCCTTATCTTTCCTTTCCCACTCTCCTGAGATCTCTTTTAAAGTTCTTATGATGTAATTGAGATTTCACAAAGTTCAACCTATGTAAAAGTTTCTATGATGTCAATTACTGGGGAAAGCACCTATAATTTTTTAACCAAACAAGTTGCATATACAGAGTAACACACACACACACACACACACACACACACACACACACACACACACACACACTTTAGATATGTTGGACTTTGTAGATACTTCCTGGGGTTTTTTTGTTTGTTTGTTTGCTTGTTTTGTTTTGTTTTTTGAGATAGGGTTTCTCTGTGTAGCCCTGACTGTCCTGGAATTCACTCTGTAGACCAGACTGGCTTGAAAGCAGAGATCTCTCTACCTCTCCCTCCTGAGTGCTGGGATTAAAGGTCTGAACCACTGCCTCCTGGCTGATACTTCTCGTTTTTAGCATAGAAATTAAAAAATAAAACATTCAGAGGATGAACTCCTGTGTTTTCTTAACAATTAACAACCCATGGCCTATCTTGTTTTAGCTGCATCTTCAACCCTCAACACCATTACTATGTATATAGACACAGACCATTTAATTTACCATGAATGGGTTTTTTGTATTTATGGTGGTAATTTTTTTTTAAGAACATGGCATCAGAGCTGGAGAGATGGCTCTGTGGTGAAGATCACTTCCTGCTCTTGCAGAGGATCCTGGTTTTGTTTCCCTCCTATCGATCATCCCACAACCAGTGAGTAACTCCAGTTCCAGGAATCCTATAGACTCATCTAGTCTTTGGGGTTACCTGCACACATGCGATGAACACATAGACAAGAAGGCACATGCATATGACAATTATGCATATGACAATTAAAGCTGCTAGGCCCACCTGTAGCTTCCAGGAATTTTACTTGAGGAACCCAGCTCACATAGCTTCCTGTACCCTGATACCTTATCCTTAGGCCCACCTACCCTTGCCCAGGAACCTCCAGTGTAAAATGGGCACCTCAAACCTACTTAGCCATCTCCTGAACATTGTAAACACCTGACTTGGTAGAAGATGTGTGTGTGTGTGTGTGTGTGTGAGAGAGAGAGAGAGAGAGAGAGAGAGAGAGAGAGAGAGAGAGAGAGAGAGAGAGAGAGAGAGAATGAGAGAGAGAGGAAGACAGAGACACAGAGACAGAGAGACTCAACTGAAAAGAAATCAAACATATCAGTTAAAAAATTAGTAATGGAACTAAACAGGGAGTCCTCCAAAGAAGAAACACAAAAGTCTGAGAAATGTCATTCTAAAGTGTTCAAAAATCATTGGCCATTAAGGAAACTTTTCTGAGATTTTTATCCCACCAAAGTCAAAGTGATTAAGATCAAGAGAGACAAAGGACAACAGGTGCCAGTGTGATCTAAGGAACGTGAAACACCTCTTCACTTCTGACGGGTGTGCAAGTGTGCAAATTGTCACAGCCGCTGTGGAAACTCAGTGTGAAGTTCCCCCAAAAAGTTAGACACAGATTCACTGCATGGCCCAGCTATGCCACCCCTGAGCATATTCCCAAAGGAATCTGTGTCTTACTGTAGAGATCCTTGCCCGCCCACCTTCCTTGCTGGTCTTTATTCATAATACCAGCAAGTGGAAACAGCCTAGACGTCCACCTACTGACGAATGGATAATAAAAATGTGACACAAACACATAACGGAGTACTCTTCAACTGTAAAGTAAAATTAAATTCATAGAAAAAAAGGTTAATAGATCTGGGAATAATCATTGTGAGTGGGACCCCCAGAAAGGCAAACACTATGTGATCTCCCTTATATGTGGGTACCAGCTTTGGGTATTTAAATGTGTTGTGTTGAAACCGGAGCACAGATAGAGGTTAGGTGGCTAGTAAAGGGGCATGGAGGTGAATTTCAAAGGATGAGGACTAGAACACAGTGGGGAAAGGGAGTAAGGGAGCAGAAAGGATTAGATGGGTGAGGAATAGGAGGAAAGAGTAGAGGAGAGAGAATGCAAAGTATAACTAATGTTAAAGACCTCTGAAAAACACCGAATACCATAGAAGCTTCCTAAATAAACACACAGACACAAAAGGAGTTTAAAGAGAATTATCCAGCCACAGAGGAGCAGGGAGGGAGGCATGGAGGACAAATCTTCTCTATAGGTTTTGAGCTCAAAAGCCCAGTGCCAGGGATGGTTTACTTCTTTTGGACTTAGTGGCCCATGGGTTCCCATAGGATGCCCCACCCACTGAAACATTGCAGCCTATTGGCATTGCTCTTGATCACTTCCCAGAATTGCATAGTGTGACCTTATTGCTAAAGATACCATACACTTGGAAAAATCATTCTGGTACCAACTTGGAAGCTTCATTCCTGCTGTCTAGCTTTCAAAGTGCTGCATGGTTCCACGCATGCTGCTTGAGCTACAGTAATGACTGTCCTGGCAAGATGTGCTCACAGGCTCAATAGTGGTATGGATGCTATAGGAGAAAACAGCTACTTTCTAGATGGATTTGCTCCTCGGATCAAATTCATGCCTGGAATTACTAACTGGACCAAACCCCACGACTAACTATGTCATAGACCTTAGAGGAAAAAAAATAATGAAAATAATACTTGTGCCAAACAGACATAATGTTAAACTGTTCCTAAGCTCTTTTTATTTTGGTTTTTAGAGATAGGATTTCTCTGCATTGTTTTGGAGGGTGTTCTGGAACTTGCTCTGTAGATCAGGCTGGCCTCAAACTCACAGAGATCTACCTGCCTCTGCCTCCCGAGTGCTGGGATTAAAGGTGTGTGGTACCAACACCCGGCCTAAGTTCTTATCTTTATACCATGGATGAGTCCATGTCTCTCCTCCCATTAGAGAAACCTTTTTGTTTGTTTGTTTGTTTTCATTATTTGGTGATTAATCCAGAGACCCATGACTGGTCAACATGCAGAGAATAAGAGACGTAGGAGTGCTCTGCTTTAAGCTGCATAACCTCTTATCCAAAGGTTGAAGATGGGGCAGAAAGGTTCTTAGAGCCAGAAGCAGTGGATGCCTGCAGTGAAACAGTGTTTGATGGCCTTCCCGGGGCTGCTGCATACATGAACTCATTACATCATGAACTCATCACATTGTGACTGTGTGCAAAGACAGGTATAAGACCAAGCCCTCCAGTTTTCTAGAATGAGTAGGGGAAGGACTCGTCACTTTTTACAGCTAGCTGTGGCGCTACCACCAATCAATGGCTGTTTTCAGGGATGTGGGCCATGGGAAGCTGTCCAGACTCCAGTGGAAGGTCCAAATCCCATGTGTATAATGTCAGTATTAAGTGGACTCAGTGGGCTTAAAAAATAGTAAATGAAGTTGGGAGACCCAGTGGGGAAGTACGAGAAAAGCTGTGTTGCAGAATACTTGTCTAAACATGTAAAGATGTGTTACTGTCTTAACGTTGCCTGCCGAAGGCACCTGATTGGTATAATAAAAAGTCGAACAGTCAATGGCAAGGGAGGAGGCATGGGTGGGGCTTCTGGGCAGGGAGAGTAAGTAGGATGAGGAGTTTAGGTCCAGGGAAGAAAAAAACCGAGATGCCACGGGCCAGACACCCAGGCGTGGAGAAAGCAGAAAAGTAGAACATACAGAATGAAAGAAAAGTAAAATGTCCTAAGGCGAAACATAGATGAACAGAAACAGGTTAAATTATGTTAAAAGAGCCAGTGGGACAAACCTAAGCCAAGACCCAGTGTTCATAATAATAAACCTCTGTGTCTTTATCTGGGTGTTGGTTGGCAGCCCAAAGAAAATGCCAACTACAGAGTTGGAGGGGAGAAGATGAAGGATAGGCATGATCAAAACACATTCTTTGCATATATCAAATCCTTGAATAATAAAAAGGTAAAAAGTCATGTTTTTTTACAATAATCGTGCCATTAATTTTTAAAATCATGTCATAGTTATTCTCAGTAGCTAAAATTAGCTAACAAACTCAATTTTCACTTAGAATACTAGATACTAATTTGACATGTTTTCCTAAAATGGATGATATTTGAAACTAGCAATTCATTTCATTATTTTCAGTTGTCCCGTTAAATAGATTGAACAAGACTCCAAGATTCTCTTAATTTCTCTAGCATACTCATATCACCTAGTAATGGGAAAACGGCTCCCTATGTTTACTATTTCTGATGGTGAATCTGTTTATTTATTTACTTGTTTGTTTGTTGCTTTTTTGAGACAGGTTTTTTTTTCTGTATAATAACCCTGGCTGTCCTGGAACTCACTCTGTAGACCAGGTTGGCCTTGAACTCACAGAGATCTGCCTGTCTCTGCCTTACGAGTGCTGGGAATAAAGCTGTCACTGTGTTCCACCACTGCCCAGGAAGAGAGAATTTATATTGCCAATGAATATTTATCTATTCCATGATGCTTATAAGGTTTTAGTCTCTGTAATATAAAATGTTTTTAAATAGTATTTTATTCTACTATAAAAATTTGTCTTGTGTGCCTAGTGGAGGTGGTCCACATCTTTAATCCCAGCACTCACAGGCAGATTTCTGTGAGTTCAAGGCCAGCCTGATCTACATAGTGAGTTCCAGGACAGCCAGGGTGGTTACACAGAGAAACCTTGTCTCAAAAAATTTTTAAAAAAATGAAAGAAAGAAAAGAAATGTAGGCAGAGTTTTCCTGTCCCACCAGCCCTTTTCCAAATAACCACATCGAGTCTTAATATTAATCATAAATACTTGGTCAATAGCTCAGGCTTGTTACTAGCTAGCTCTTAGAGTTAAGTTAAGCTTTGTTACTTGTCCCGGTACCTTTTCTCAGTGTGGTATGTCCGTTTCTCCAGACTCCATCCTTCTTCCCGGAGCTCCCCTCGTCTGACTCTCCCAACCAGTCTCTTCCTGCCCAGCTATCAGCCAGTCAGCTTTTCCTTAGTAATGAGAAGAACAACACATTTTCACAGTATAAAGAAGGTTTATTCCATAGCAAACAGGAAAAAATATCTCGTGCTGTGTGTGTGGTGTGTGTATGTATGTATGTATGTATGTATGTATGTATGTATGTATGTATGTATGTATGCAGGCATGCATAGCTTGGGAGTTGAACATGCATGTGTGTGGATGTGTGTGTGTTTGTGTATGCAGGAATCTAGAGGCTGGAGTTTTGAGTCCGCTGTCTTCCTCGTTGCTCACCACCTAGTTTTTTGGAGACTGCATTTCTCATTGATTCTGGAGCTCACCAACTGGTCAGACTCCCTGGTCAGCTAGATCCAGGATCTGCTTGTGTCTAAATCTTCAGCACTGGGATTACAGGTGCCTCTTGCCCTGCTTTTTACACAAATGCTAGGGATCTACACCCAGGTCCTCATTCGTGCATGACGGGCACTTTGCCCACTGAGCTGTCTCTCCAGCCTCTAGCTATTTTATGTTTCGCAAGAGTCGTGTAAGTTGGCTATTGTTTTATTCACCTTTGTTTTAAAGACCCATGCCTTAGAGAAACAGAATGAGCTGCTCAATGGTTCGAGAGTCAGTTTCTAAAACAGGAACCCAGCCTCTAGCTCCTGGTCCTTCTTACCTGATGATACTGGTTTTGTATGAAGCTTTCCCTTATGGCTTTCATGCAGAGACACCCACAATGCCAGTGGAGTTGAAGGTGGACACGTGCTGTACCTGCCTCGAGGCTCTCCTGAGGCCACCGTGGCTCTCACAGAGCTTCTCATGCTGGGTCAGCAGCTTCTTTGAGAGCAGAGGATAGAACATCTCTGGAGGAAGATGTTCTCTTCCTGAGATTCCCTTTCTATCATCAAATTATCTTCCTCCAGCTTTGCCATGTTTTATTGCTGCAAGTAAATAAAGGATGATCTGATTTGTGATTCAGACCCGGAATCGATTAGTAAAACACCCAGACACAAGACAGATTCGAAGACTTGACTTCTCTGAATCAGACAAATACAATGAACATCGTTTGTAGAGAAACTTCCTTTTGAACATTGGAGGAGGAAAACCAGACCCTTTGAAATGCATTTGAAATCAATGTGCTAAACGGTCACTGTAATTTAGTGATCACTGCGCACTGACTGTCTGTCTCTTCCGTGGAGAATATTGCTACCCCTTCCCTTCCCTGGGTGATGGCAGGGAGAGCCTGACTAGAAACCACACTTGGTCCCTGTATCAGGATGGTCTCACTGTCACACTCCCTGCAGCTCTGTGACAAGCTCAGCTGGGGACACTCCTCCACAGAGCTACCCTAGCCCCTGTGGGTAGGAGCTTACTCTGTGTTCACAAGTAAACAGGGAGTAAGCCATGAACTTCTGGAAGCTAGTTCTCCTCTTGGAAAAGATCGTTTCCATTTCTGAGAATGCATCCCATACGCAGAGGGGCACAGAGAGGCTTAACTGCAGGAGGAAACAGTTTGAAATGTCTCCCTTTCCGTGTCTGTCCACATTTTGAAATGTAGAAAGAAATCACTTCAGCTCACCACACCATGCCCCCTTAGCTTGAATTAAATCTCTTACCATGGGGAAAACAAACTTTATCTCTGGTATTGTTCACAATGCGCCTTTTCTAAACAGGGGTGCAGACAAAGATGACGTCTTGCTCAATCACTTGTTAGCTGTGCATCCTGGGACAGGTTGCTTAGGCTGTCTGAACTGCCTGTTATAATAGATTAAAGGAGAGGCTGCATGTAGATTGTACATCAGCCTCTGAACTGTGCCTGCTCTTATTTTCTGTGAAGCATTTTGGAGTTAGAAAATGGGGCAGGATGAACTACTGAGCATAGTTTTCTTTTTTTTTATATACTGTGGCTTTAATGAGATCAGCTATCTCATTCTTCAAAAGGTCCTCTACCCCTTCAAACTGTAAGCCAAAATAATAAATAAATACCTAATTGTTTGTGGGTGGTATTTTGTCACTGCAATAAAATGTATCACTAATGGACATGGAAATGTAATTTTTACTTTTTTGTCACATGCTCCATTGTGGTGATATATTATTTATGATTTATTAAAGCTTGCCTGAGGATTCAGAAAGCAAAGCCAGCCTCAAGCTAAAGATATGGGGCAGTGGTGGTACACACCTTCAATCTCGGGACTCAGGGTTAAGAGGTAGATGGATCTCTGTTAGTTCAGGGCCGCAGTGACCCCATGAAATTGACCCAGGACTAAAACAAACACTGAGCATAGTTTTGTTTTTGTTTTTGTTTTTTTAATCCATTCTGCCTCCACTTGGTGTGGCTGTAGCATCAGTTTCTCCCCCTAAAGGTGGGTGGGTCCACTTTCACATCCCATTGACTTTCAGCTTCACCATGGCTAACTTTACTTTTACTTTTGATTTTTAGTCATGGGTCACTGTGAGGATATGTCGCACGCATGCAAGTACCCACAGAGGAAAAAGAGAGAGACAGAGATAGAGAGAGACAGAGAGAGATAGAGAGAGATAGAGATAGAGATAGAGACAGAGATAGAGATAGAGACAGAGAGAGATAGAGATAGAGATAGAGACAGAGAGAGATAGAGAGAGATAGAGATAGAGACAGAGATAGAGATAGAGACAGAGAGAGATAGAGAGAGATAGAGACAGAGAGAGATAGAGATAGAGAGAGATAGAGATAGAGACAGAGATAGAGATAGAGAAGGAGAGAGGGAGGGAAGGAGAGAGGAAGAGAGAGAGAGAAAGAGAGAGAGAGGGAGAGAGAGAGGGAGAGAGAAAGAGAGGGAGGAAGAGAGGGAGGGAGGGAGCGAAGGAGGCAGGGAGGGAGAGATAGGTAGAGAGAGAGAGACAGAGAGAGAGAGAGAGAGAGAGAGAGAGAGAGAGAGAGAGAGAGAGAGAGAGAGAGAGAGAGAGAGAGAGAGAGAGCTTCCAATTCCCTGGAGTTGGAGTTGCAGTCAGTTGTAAGCTGCCAAGCATGGGTGCTTAGAGCTGAACTGGGATACTCTGGAAGAATAGCGACACTGATGCTGGAACCTCTCTCCAGCCGCTGCACGACGGTTTTATCCCACAGGCTGTTATCCAACCTGATATACTAGGATGTCGGCCCGAATAGCGCTTGCTGCCTTTCATGGCCCACCTGGTCTTAGGAGGACTTGAAGCTTGTGGAGCAGAGCTGCCTCAGGGGACTCGCAGACCACACTGTAAAATAAAGGCTTCCTTTTCTCAAATTTTGAGATTTGATTTTTTTTTGCAGTTATAGCAAGCCAGAGCGATAACATTTTATAAACATATTATGGTGGTTTTTTAAATAAGCAATTAAAAATTTTTAAAGTGACTTTACGTGTGTAGCCGTTTTGCCTGCACGTGTGTCTGTGCAGCACTTACGTACCTGGTGATCATGGAGGCCAGAAAGGGTGTCAGCACTTCTGGCGTAGTTATGGATGGCTGGGAGCCTTCCTTTTATTGCTGGTCCTCTGGAAGAACAGCCGGTGCTCTTAACCACAAAACTATTTTGCCTGCTTCCTTGTTGTGTGACAAAACTTCCTGGGGAGACGCAGCACACACACCCACTCCCCAGACAGGAATCCCAGGATAGAGTAAAGGACAGATACCAAGGAAGTCCAATTTGGTGAACCAATGCATTTTACCGGAGTCATTAGCAGGAGTATAGGTGAGGGGTTACTTACAGTAGCAGAAATGACTCAAAGACATCTGTGTCACCAAAGCCCACCCAGCATAAGTGACAGCTCACCAAAAGCTGGGAACCTGGAGCATACTACACAGCCTGAAGGCAGCTCAGCAGGTTGGAGAGTGTCTTGTCCAGGTGACTCACTGTCTACACCTCTCACAGGCAGCTCAGCTGGTTCCTGCCTCTTCCAGGCAGCTGGCCTGACCTCAGAGCCTCTGGATCTTGTCTTGTCTGCGTCTTCTTTGCTGCTTGGCTCTGTTAATCTGAGAGGGACCCTCAACTGTCAGTACTTATTCTGGCGAGAAGGGGCCTAGAGGATTGTAGCACTGATAATAAAAACCCAGAGACAGATACCAGGGTTCAAGCTTCAAGCTGAAGATCAGAGAAGCAGAGCAGCCAAGTCACTAGCTCTTACCGCTACCTCAGGCTGAGATAGCAATCCTGTCTCCACCAAGCCTCAGACTGCAATCCCAGACTGCTGCCTTTCCTCAACGTGAGGCAAATCCTCAGAGCGTAACCCGAGACCCTGGGCTCCTGTCTTTTATATACCTCTCTAGGCCTGGGATTAAAGGCATGAGCTCTAATTCTCTTTTAGACTGATTCAATCTTGAGTAGCCCTGGGTGGCCTTGAACTCACAGAGATCCATCAACCTCTGTCTCCTAAGTCCTGGGATTAAAGGTTGTGTTGCCACCACTGCCCAGTTTCTACAGCTATCTAGCATGGCTGGCTTTGCTTTCTTATACTTCAGGTAATCTGCATGAAATCATAAAGAATGTATCACCTCGGTGAAGCTGCTGAGTTTAAGGGATTTCCTGAAGTCATTTTGACTTGTCTACCTTCCATGCAGGTTTGAATGTTTCAATCTCAGAGAAAACTCCTGCACACAAAAATTAGTAGATTTTTAGTTTAGTAGATTTTTGATTCAAACTGGTCTTTGTTAGGAAAAACAGTCAATAAAACCCACCTATTCTACCAATAAAGAAATGATATCATTTAGAATGCCAGAAGATAAGTCATTAACTGTGCAGATATCACCGTAAAAGCCACCAAGGAAGCTAGTTTCTAGCTGACTGAAATCATAGGTACTTGAGAATGTGGTCAGGTCCCTGAGCTTCCTGAGAGCACTACAAATAGTTTGTGCACAGTCATGCGAGTTTCAGAGGACACAGAACCCTGTGAGCATGCGGTCCTGACTCAGGATCCCTGGTCTAGCAAGCCACACAGCACTGAGAGGTCTGCAGCTTTGGAAAAAAGCTCTGATTCTCAGGGTGACACAGGACTAAAGGCAATGGCTTCGATACATGGTCTGGCA